CATCGTTGTACGCGTCTTGAAACTAGAACTCAAAGCTACCGTCAAAATTTGCGGAACGACTCACTGAACGGAGTTATAGATGGTTTTATTCCCGCGTAGTTTTTCTACATGCTATCGCGAGGAAACGTAGAAGCTTTCTTGCATATATGTGGAGAGTCGTTGTTGAACGTGGCAGTACCGCGCAACAAGTAGGAGCGGGTTCCCCAGGTGAGAGGTAGTGAGATCGGTTCTTGTGAAGCAGACAATTTTAGCATTTCCCAAGAGCATGGCCGACAAAGCTTCTAACATCTCTGCTCGCCTGCACTAGCCTGTAAGGAAACTTGCGACCAGGTTTTTTTCCAAAAGGGTAGAAACATTGTGGCCAGAAGAAGTGTTTGTTCTTGTTTTCCCGGTAACTTATGTCACAAGGGTTCTTGCAATGAAATAGAATGATATTCATGTTCAGCGGGTCAAATTACCTCTGGAGGCAAGCCTAGCCAAATCTGATATTTCGACCTAACTTGGAAAATGTGGGCTATTCCATGGGTAATTAGCAGCAGACTGGAGCTCACCTACCATCGATGACTGGTCTCGGGATGGAATTTCCTCCCCGTAATCAGAAAAATGATGCAGACGGCACGAATAATTGAACCTAACTCCATTTTTCGAAGTTGAGTCAGGACCTCAGATTCCGCTAAAGTGCCGTTGCTAGGGGTAATTTGACTCCCTGAACATGAGTGTGATAGCTATTTGTACGTAGAATGTTGTATGTCGCGCTACAGGTGCCAACGCTTCGGCGCCAGCGCGCCTCAAGAAGAAACAGAGAAAAACCTCCATAACTCCGCTCAGAGAATCGTTCCGCAAATTTTGAAGATAGTTTTGAGTTCACCGTCTCAAGACGGAGTACAACGATGTGCATCTCATTGCAAATGGCCAGGCTGACCTGTTGACCTTTCCTGGTAAGCCGAAGCAGATGCCTATTAGTACGTAGCAAGGTGACGTGCTAGTGAAGAAAAGGATAAGCAGAACGCGTGAAGAAGCACCTTCTTATTGCGTGCGAATCTGGTTTTTTCTATATTGACACGGTCAAAGGAAAAAAGCCTGGACTAGGTGACAGTTAGGCCTCGCGCTAGAGAGTAAAAGCACGGTAGAGAGAGCAGAAAGGCTAGAGGGAGAGGCGACGAAGCCGGTCACGTAAGCACAGATCAGATTTGTTGGATGGGGTAGCTACAGGATGGTGGGGTCGTTAAGGCGAACCACTCACTGCCTCAGCTCCTTCAACACACATTTTCGAGAAACGAAATTCGTGCAATATCTGCGTCTACGGATTAGCCCCTCCTGCACCAAAGGAGTGATTCCACCGGCGACCCTTTGCGCGTCGCACCGCGAACAGCCTTTGCACTGTGCCTTCATTGCCTCAGACTCATTTTACTGAGTGATTTGAGGCGGATGGGAGGGGGGGGGTATTTTGCGAATCCGCTAGTTTCCTTTGCTAGTTCTGCAGAATTAAACAGTACTGTTCGCTCAGGGAGGCGTGGGTTTGGCGCGACGCCACCCCACTCTCATCAACTGTGGAAGCTTGCAGACGAAGAACAATCGATGGAAAACCAACTGGCGCCGCGCCAGTTCAGCCCCCTGAAACCTCCCAGCGTTCGCAGCGAACTATTCGGTACTACATTTCACCCCGGTATGACCTGTAGCCCCTTATCAAGCGTAGCACGTGATACATAGCTTTGCAGGAGTGTACAAGTATCCACAGGTGCATGGTCAGTGCTCTATAGGACCAGCAAAATGCCCCCACTAAGCCGAACTGCTCCAATATCCTCAGCAGGTGTAGAATCCATGAAGCTCTCAAAGTCACATGAAGCAGCCAATTACGGACCCCAAGTCGACCCAACCTGCTAGATTCTGCATTCTGACCAGTGAGCTCAATAGACTAAGTTCTTCGAGTGATTCTTGCCTATAAAGTTTGCTCAATCGTAAGTCTATATCTGTCTACCGTATCACATTTTCTCTTAGGGACCTGAATATTGTTGAATATTGTATTACACACGTATTACGACACACGTTAATACTACCAAATTGTTCAACAAAACCTTTTATTTTCGAATTAAAGTGATTCTCTCCACAAGTATGCATGTTTATAGTCTACGTAGGATCACTACAGCTACCGTAACGACATCGGAACAATACGGAAATCGGAACACCCATAAAAATAATACAGCTCTCTACCACATTCAAAAGGAAGAAATCAACAAATAAAAGCCGATACCATGTATAATTGCTTGGAATGATTTAAGCTATCGAAATACAAAACAGAACAATAACAAGTAAGTGATCTACAGAATTCATCACAAATCACTCTAGCGCTGTAAACGCCCTAAATCTTTTTGACGGATACAATCAGGATACAAATGCAGCCCAGCTAGCGCAGAAAAATGAAAAAGAACGAAGCCCTGGGAGGCGTGCCGTCGCCGCAAGTGAGTAAGGAGATCCGAATAGCGGCGGTACGGCGTCGCGTCGGCGGCACATGCACTGTGGGTCGCATCAAGGATAAATAACGACCTAGCTTCCGCCGCAACTCCGATCTCCTCGTCTTTAGCAGCTGCTTGAAGAACATCATGATCAAACCTCATGGTTCATCTGACAGAGCCGCACCGCGACCGCACGCGTCACATACCTCCTTTCTCTTACACCCTTTTTCAAAACTACGATATATTCAAGACAGGACTAGAACTCATAACTACGACGAGAATTACAAGTTAACGAAAATGAACGCCAAAAACGAGAACGGGACACGGACAAGACAATCGTAATTCGTCGCGTCGTCGCGCGCGACATCGTGCGGCAAATCTTCGATGCGCATCAGCTCGCCGACTGCAGTAGCGAAACTCACCCGATTTCAAGCACGAGAAACACACTCCTCTGGGTGCAATCCAATTTTCCCATCTCTTCGACACCAAATTTGAATGGCAAGGGGGGGGGGACAACTCGTCTATCGGACGCGGCGCCGCTCGCCCACCAACGGTACAATTACGATTGTCTCGTCACATTTCCAACGACAACATTTACAGAAAGACGACAAGGCTCAATGCTAACGTTAGTCTCACATAATTTGAACCTCCTCGTTTTTCAACACCTATATGGCAAAATATCTCATTCAGCACGTTGTATAAGTAACCATCACTATTACCAGAATATTTCAAAGATTGTACAAAGGAAGTGAAAAGCAGAGGGGCCTTACATACAGTGGCTGGAAACCGGTATGCAGAATGAGCAGTAAAATAAAGGTACAATACGTAAGAGGAAAGCGTGGCACTTTCCGTACAACCATTGCTTAAGAATGCATTACTGGAATAACTGGCATAGATGATACAATGACCCTATCTGTACCTATACTCGAACGATATAATATCGACGAGGTTAGCGCCGGAATTTTACACTGCTTTAAAGGTAGGATGATCTACAGCCTCAGTTGCATCATCGTTATCACCCCTAGTTTGGTATTCTGTATGAAGTAAATTAGCTACGAAAACAGCTAGATCAGCATTAGTCCAGTAGGCGAAATGACTCTTCAGTACCGACCAATAGCTCTTGTCCGTCAGTGCGGGCTGAAAGCAAAAACCAAAAATTTAACGCCCTCGACCCATCGAAAAAAGGAAAAGTTGAAAAAACTGGAGATAATGCAGTTGTGGTGGGCTAACCGGCAAGAGATGCCGCGTGTCACACTGGTAGTCTGCGCTCTCCTGAAGGTGAGCCTGTACAGGAGAAGGAGTCGCTCTCTTGTCAGGGCGCGAAGGAGCTCACTTAGTCACGCCATCACTCCGTGTCCTCCCTCCTCTCCCACCTCCAGCACCACGGTCACCAGCATGGCGCTTCATGCGACTATACTATTATATACATTTTAGGATAACAGCGGTATACAGTAACTCATGATCTCGGCACGTTGAAAGGAAACAGTTACCCCGTAACGCACATAAAACTACCCCACCGCGCACCTGTGCAGGCAGCGGTCATCACGGACCCTAAGGGCGGCGAGCTGAAAGTGCATCCGAGCGGCCCTCGCAATCCCAGACTCCATACATTAGCCTCCCCCCTCTTAGGTCGCGACATCAGCGATCTGTATACCTCTGTTACTAAACTGAAAATCTTGTCGTCATGCATTGCCATTTCCCCAGTAGAAGTGGAGGGGTCGACTTGCCTGGCACCAACTTTTCTGATCGCTAATTATTCTCCCCCTCTCATGGCGCACAGAATAAAGCCTTCCCCCAGGATTCGTGTGTTGAACAAACATCGCCACCACCAGGATGTGCCGTGGCTACAAGCCATCCGTCAATAGAATTCCTCTCGCTGCGATAGTGCAGAGGCATTTTCTCGTCTTGTAGTTTGGCTGAGCTCTTGGAACAGAAAAGGAGGAGGAAATACGATGGAAAAAGGGAAGTATCTTGCTGACAAACGTCTCAAGTCGCTCAGCACAACACGCCAGTAACACCTCCCCCACCTCTTCCAAAATGAAATGCCTGCAATAACTGATGTGTACAAGAAATACCTGTAACTGGAAATCCATTCGATGAGGCGGTCGGACACCGCTACCCAGCAAGCGATCGGCCAGAGGAAGTTCGGACTAGAAAAGAAAAAACTTCCAGCTGATTCAATCGTCATCGAAAATCGGTATCAATTTTGCTTACTTCAGCTTCTTTCGCAACTTCCACCGTTGGTTCTTGAGGAGCCGCTGCAGGAACAGCTGCCTTCTTAGGTGCCGCTGTAGTGAATGAGGAAGAACCATCCTTTTTTCGCTGGTTTTTCTATGGACGTCGCATCTGCGGGTGGTGTCTCACATCTAGGGGAAGAGCCTGAAAAAAATGTGCATAGGAAACTAGCTCGGGGAAACGCTATCGTTCAAAACAGACACACTTCTACACACAGAGTAAAAGGAACGGCAGTGCACTCAAATAAGGGCCATACACAGAGAGGAAGTAATAGCTAAATACCAAGAACCGGAACAAAGGCATCATGCATAACTAAAGAGCCTTAGAAACCCGCCAAGAATAGATACACCACAGTTAAACTTGCCAGCTGGTGCAGAAGCCTGCGCTGAAATAAGCCTATCATAGAAAAAAACCTCCGTTTATGTAAATCCTGTAGTGGCATCGACAAACTGCGATACTAACTACATCATCACTGATGGCCTGCAATGTCTGAACAATAACTGATGGCGAGCACAGTTCTTTTCGTTGCCGATGATGGGGCGCAGGGGGTGGGGATAGGTTTAGCGCGGCGCCAGCCCGTTTCATTTTTTTTACGTTCAGCCAACGGTAAAACTGTAACATATCATTCGTATCAATCGTTTTCCACAAGTTTTTGTCGCTCTATAAGAAGACTGTAGTTCACGCACATTCAAAGTTATCCAACGGTATTCAAAGTTTTTCTAATCGCTTGGAGTACAGACACTCTTCATCAGAAGGCAAAAATAGGCGAATCCAAGTAGTAGTTGCGAGCGCAGCGAAGGTTCAAACGGAAGTGAGGAGTCTTAAGTATGACAGGTGCGAGTCAGCCAAAAAAGCAGGAACACGCAGCAGTCGTCTGATCGCCCTTTTTTCTTGGATAAGGCGGATAAGGACTGTAATGAGGACCTGACCGACGGAAAGGACTGAGCTTCTATGAGTGAGCAATCTCTTTTGGGATGCACCGCGCATTACAACCACTGAAAAAAATCTGTAGCCTACATCCGCTCTTGGCGTCGTAATCCGAATCGCAGTCGTCTTCTTCATCCATATCGTCATCACCACCGCTTCGGGCATCATTCTGAAATGAGACTCCACACATACTATTTTTATAACAACAGCATCAAGTTCCTACTTTAGTTTCACCGAAGCATCTCGCGACCTCACGTTAGAAACCTGGAGGAGGAGCAGGCGCCTAGTGGGTCACCTGTGAATCAAAAGCTTCGACCCTTTGTCAAGTCCTGCCGAGATTTCAACA